GGGGGGGTTGAGTTATGAAGTTATAATCTCTGTTTTACCCTTCTACCATGTACATCAAGTGCATCCGGTATAACCTCGTTCAATCGTTTGCTAATGGCAGGAGAATGCTCGTTGATCCTCGCTACGTATTCCAAAAGCTCGGTCAAAACATGCGGACAGCTTTCTCGTAAGTAATCAAACCCATCGGTCTGCATCACCGCTGATAAACAAGCAACGAGTCGTTAAGATTTGGGGTGTAAACATTCAAAATAGAGGAAGGGTAATTTTACAACTTTGTTTTAACCGTAAGTCCATGACATGTGTGACTTCGTGTAGCTATGAGTGATGTGATTAGGTAAATCTATAAATATGTAAAATCTAAAGTAAAAATACAAAAGCTACATAAACTAAATAGGACTAAATCTTTCGGAAAAAAGTCACGCCTTGTAAAAAACGCACCTTACAAAAACGCTATAGGCCTTATCGTAAGGGCAGAGACGCATCTTAACGTCATATCACGCCATGACGTGCCTTTTAGAACGCTGTGGGTATCGCAAAACCGCTTTTTGTCAGCCTTTTTATGTTTTATGAGCCCATTACAAGAACTTGTTCCGCAAAACCCTAAAGGGGCGTTTGGTTTGGTGAAATGGTTTGTAGAGATTTGGATTTCGTGGAAGGATTTGCAATTGAAGGGATTTGGATTTGAAATCTTTATTATGTTTGGTTTGTAGGATTTGGAATGGAATTGAATTCCAATCTTTATAAATAATTAGTGACACGTCATCTCCAAACACGGCTATTTTGGTAAACCACCCTAAATTTTAATGGACGTGCATTAATCAACGATACCCGATGCATAATAATCCGTTCTCAAGACTTTTAACCAAAACGCTTTATAATATAATACATATAAACAGTAGGGTAAACGTTTTACCTCTGAGGTTTTCCGGCATGGCTACGAATTTGAGACACACGGCTTTCAACCGTAGACAATGGTGCTGCTCCGCCAATGCTAATGTGGTTGCAACGGTATTTATGGCAACATCTTGGCAAAGATTAGCCTCACAGAGCAGTTGCAGCCTATCTAAACCGTAGCGGTCGGCCGCTGCGAGCAGATGCTGAGACATCAACGTCGAAGCCCATTTTGTGTTAAGACCCGTTAGCTCTTCCATGTCAGGCAGGCTATCCCAGTACATAAAATGAAGCAATGCCTGCACATCAGAAACGCCATGAGGTCGAGCTTTTAACGAGCTACTCGAGCTTGAGTAGATCTTGAACACAAAATAGAACTCGTTTAACTTAACGAGTCGAGCTTCATAAAACCAATGTTCAAGTCAACTCGTTCGAAAGCTCGATTAAATTTTTCGAGTCGAGCCGAGCCATTCGAGCATACACTTTTTCAAGCCAAACATACTCATATGTTCATAAACAATCCAATAGAAATATAAAAATTAACAGTCTCGAGCCAATAAACGAGCTGCGAGTATGAGCCCGTAAACGAGCATCGAGCTCGATAACTCAAAAAATATTCGAGCTCGAACCCTACATTAAGAAAAGTTGCTCGAGCTTGATAAGGAACGGCCCACTAGCCCTAGCCCATGCCCAATTGTAGATCATCAGCTCAGGCCTTGGAATGCTATAAATACTAATAGGTTAGCAATAGAGAAGGCAGGCAAGAATTATAGTTTCTATAGCATTCGGCTGTGAAAGCTTGGGCAGGAGGAAAGGCCGTTCATCGGCTTCATCTTGATTTTGTCATCTCAATCTGATTGAATAAGATAATCAAATAGCTTAATCCTTTGTTTTGGTTTGTTGTATCGATTATTCTGTTCTTGTTTCTAACAGAGCTCCTGGTATAAATTTTTAACGAATAACTTACTTCTCGGCTCGGCTCATTTACACACTAATTGTACTCCCCCCATCCCAAAATAAATGTCCACAATGAAAAAGACACAGTTTTAGAAATTTGTAATTAACCAAAATGACAATTTTACCCTAAATAATAGAGGGAGTAATGAACTTCCCCATGTCATAATTAAGCATAATCAAGGATAGAATTGGAAAGTAAGCATAATTGAAGTGCCTACATGTCACAAACACCATGAACCATGAGGTCTAGTTGCCATCATGAATTGTGCTCCTTTTATCCCAAAATAAATGCCCAAAACGGTTTAGAAATGTGCAATTATTACACTTTTTGATCAACTAAATTACAATTTTATCATTAATAATAAAGGGAGAAGAAATGCACAAGGAACAGGATTTTCAGGCTTGGGCCGGGCCTTGCAAGCCCGTTTTCAGTGAGTAAAAAGGCCCATGTTTTGGGGGTTGAAAAAGGTCCCAATCGAGCTTTTTCATGCCCGGATTTTTCGAATCAGGCCTAGGCCCTGGCCTATCCCCCAAAATTTCAGCCTCATCTGGCTCTGAGGCCTTGCCCAAACCGGGCTTTGGTCTTTGTTTTTTTTTTTTTGTTCATCTATAACAAAGAGTAATATATTTCTCCATCTCATAATAAGCATGATTAAGGGTAGAATTGGAAATTTAACACCAAGTGCGTTTGGTATGCTGGACAGAACTAAAACTTGATGTCCCACATTTGGCGCGAGATTAGAGTTTTTGTCCCACCAAAAACAATGGAACAATACTTGGGAGATGGGACAATATTGGTAAATTACTAAACTATCCATGTCATATTAAAACCTTACTTGAATAGTGGACACTTACCATGGGACAAACGAAAATATAATCGTGAACACTTTATTTTGGGACGGAGCGTGTAATTCAATGCTAAGTTTCAGAAACAAACAACTTTATAACCAACCTTGAAAACCGGGGGCTCTATGTCTTCAACTTCAATGCACCGGCTACTTTGATCTTTCATTGGACCAAAAAGTTGAGCTCTGAAAACCGGTGAGCGGGCTGCAAGTACCAATTTATGAGCAGGAAATGCTTCGCCTTTTACTTCAAAAGAAATATCGGTTCCCTTTCCACACTCGAGAAGCTGCCCAAAGTGTTGACCGATATCTGAAGGTGGTACGTGAATAGAGTATGTCTTAGGGCCTTTTGTATGGGACTTGACCACCCCAACACAACAATGAACCTGAAGACAATCATCTTTCAAGTAGTCCGATGTCTCCAAAGCGGATCTTTTGAAAAACCGCTTATAACCCCTGTAGCATGTCACAAATGAACAACAATAACTAACAAGAATTCCCTCTCGCATAAAGATCCTTAAACAAGAATAGCCGATACAGATAGATATTTTGACTTAAACATTTAAACAGATGGAAAATAACCAAAAAGCATTTGCCAAGCACAAAAAGGGTGATATCTAGTTTGCACGAAAAGCCAAATAGCACAATATAATCCTTTCAAACTCGAGAAGAACACTTTCTAGCAAAGGGGTTAGAAACCCAACCAAGCTAAATGGAGATCCCACGATCCAAGTTCGAAGAGACAACGTAGCTGTTTAGTTGTCGTTTGTTTTTTGAATTTTTACCTGTTATTTACCACTTATGTCTTACCGCTTAAGAAGTTACAGTTACAGTACTGTTTGTTTTTTTCTGATATAAGAGCTTAAAGCCTCGTATTTTCCTCTTATGAGAGAAGAGGTTGACCCATCTATTATCTTCCTCTTATTGACATCAACCTTCATCATTCTTCTATTCTTTTTCCATAAACAATTAATTAGTTATATAAATGTATAATCATAATAAAGAAAAGATATTCTTTTTTCTTTCAGAATCAAATAAATAATTTTATTTTCAATAGCTTCGAGATTACCTACGTGAGAATGAAATGGGTCACTTCTAAGGGAATAGCAAGGGGCTCAATTCCTAATGGTTCTCGGAAAACCATGCATTCCTAATGTGGCGTGGGACACGAGTCTTGAACCATGGCTGCTGTCACAACGAGCCTTTTAAAACACTGACAAAAACTGATCCTAATTTTTATTATTATTTAAGATCAAATAATTAGATTTGAAGAAGCACTAGTGCTGAAAAAGTTATTAATTAGATAAACATACAATTATCAAACTATCATTGACTTTATTAGCTGATTATTTGATTCTAGTTCTTCAAATTGCTATGAAAATGTGCATCCAAACAGCCCCTAAACTCAAATTACAGTCTTCAGTTATATTTCATCCATAGCTACAACCAAGCATCAATGGCCACCCCCAACCACATTATACACTAAACAAACAGATAGATTACATGATCATAGAACTATTAATATTTGGCAAACCAACATATAGGTATTAAGCGAATAGATTAACAAAATCATACGAAACCATTTTAACAAAGAATAATATATGCATACATATATTAAAACCATGTAACACCCCAGTAACCATTCATCTAGATATGCTCATATGCACATGTGCATGCAAGTAATTTGTCCGGTATGCACATGTGCATGCAAGTAATTTGTCCGGTATGCACATGTGTATGACCAAAAAAGGCTTCAATTACTTATATGCACATGTGCATACCGTCTTGTTTACCAAGGTGTTCCTCAGTTTTCATTTTTTGGATTTTCTCCAGAACCTCCCACCCTCTATATTCACGGAAATCGTAAAAAAAATAAAAAAACAGAGCAACATCAGGCAACCATTCATGTGAACCGATGCATATGTGCATAGTGCATACCGGTAATCTGTAAGTAATTTGTCCGGTATACACATCTGCATAACATGCACACCGGTGTAAAAACCAAGATGCATCTCCAGTTACTATTATGCACATGTACATAGAATCCACATGAACCATTACTAGGTTGTTCCTCAGTTTTTTTTTTTTTTTTTGGTATCCCTGAACCTCTCTCCCTCCCTCTATCTTTCTATATTATATATATATATATATATATATATATATTATAATATTTATATATGCATTAACAATCACGATCAAGTAACAAGAACAAAGTTTAGCTTACCACATGCTACCCCTGTATTTAAGAGTATACGGCCCACTCTCTAATGCTCTTCCAAAATGGCTATGAACCTTATGCCTCTCTCTACCACTTTGATCCAAGAGAGTTAGCTCAAAAAGCGCACGTACATCTGATCCTTCGCTAGCTAATGCAATAAACAAAGAAACATATGTCGCATTATCCTCAAGGCTTTTCCCATCAGGGTAAAAGTAGATCGCCCACGAATATCCACCAACCATAAACGTGTCAGACGCTACATACTTCCCAATCCCAATCCCTTTCGATAACGAGTAACCCGATATCCTAAAATCATGTTCTCCGTTCACCGTCTCTGTCACCGACGTAGATGTCGTTGTCACCGCCGGCGGTGATGACGACGATGAAGATGTCCTCAATGTTTCTATACACGGTCTTCCCATCACCAATTTCCCACCAAATTTAAGACAAGAGAAACGCCTAATTTCACAAAAATTCGAATCGGGTATTGCCAAAAACCAGTCAAATCTGATGAATTTGACCGGGTGAGTTTCGAGAAACGTGAAATTGTTGGTCAGATCTAGGGTTTTAAAGGTTAAATTCAAGAAAATACGAGGGTTTTTGAGATGGGATCAAGTTTTTTGAGGAGATCTAGGGTTCAGGTTACGATTCTTCCCGTTGGAGAAGAATCTGAAAAGCTTTCGACAATGCAAAAAGACCAAGAAAAAGGCTTAATCGGGGATTTGGGGGTTTAAATAGGAAGCATTTCGCCGATGGGTTTGGGTGTTTATAAGGTGTGGCGGTGTGCATGATTCAATTGGAGGGGCCGCATTTGGTGCATAGAAGTTGCTTTATTCAAGGGCAGTCTCGTAAATTCGCATTGTAGTTGTAGGGCCTCTTTTTCCACGTTCACATGGGAATGTCCTTCTTAGATTTGAACATGAAACATCCAGACACTTTTAACCTTTCACTTATAAAGTTTAAGTTTAAGTTTAAACTAATCAGGCATCAATTTTGTGATTATTTTTTCTTCTTTTAAATTTTCTATAGGTACAAAATGATCCAGATCAGGATTCATATTTGAGCAAAAGATTGATTATCGATCAACCCTGACTGGTCTCACACGGAACCCATTTTATAGGAACCACATGTGATGAGTCATTATAGAGATGGCTCAGTGGTTGAGTTGAGCAAAGGGATTCAAATCATATCCAGCAAGATTTGAACTTCAACCTGTTTGTATATGTGAGCAAAGTTGCTATGCCCCTTTATCAACCGAACTACATGTCATATGTATAGTCATTAGTTCATGTTGTTTGATTCTGAAAGATAAAACAATCAAATCCCTCTCGTAATATTTTCTTTGTTTGCTTCCCTCTCGTTTTATTCTTCTCCTTGTAACCTATTTCAACTTTCGATCGAAAACTATTAAACCAACTAAATCAAAGCATTTTCGTTCGACTAGAATGACCTGTTTAGTTATCCGGTTTAACATGTATTTTTACGGTCTAAAACGTTTCAAACCAATTAATCCTCCAAAATAGTTAGATATGGATATTATATTTTACGGTTATTAGTCAAACTAAATAGTCAATCCTCCAAATCAACCCGCATGGATTGTAAAGCACTAGTTAATGCTCAAGGGATGAAATGAAAATCTCATCTTCCTCAAATTCGAATCTATGCACTGTCAAAACCTAGAGCTGTTAATGGGCAATACAACCCGTCAAACCCAGTTCGCCCGACCTGTTAGAAAAGTGGACTTGAACAACCATTCTCGAAAAAAGTGGGCAAACCCATACTAGAACACTAAAGTTAATGGGCAGGGTCAACTGATGAGAAAAGATCTAACAAACTCACCCGACACATTATATTGTCATAGTAAATACTTCAACGCCTTATTATTAAAAGAAAAATAGAAGTAGGGTCATAGTCCCTCTGCTGAATACTAAATGCCTCCCAATTAAATATTACTTGTGATATGTCATATAATACGTCTCGTATATTGATCTTGAAGTATTATGTTGTTATATTTGCTGTTGAAAACCCATATTTTGAAAGTTGATAAATAATCGAGAGATCATTTCCGTACTACATATTACGTGTAACTATTATTTTTCATATGATATGTGTATCTTTTACGTCTTAATTTTATATTAAAAAAAACCCGTACTTTCAGTGATTTTATATAAGTTTTCATTTTTCAAATGTAAAAAACAGGTCCATTTGTTCATGGACAAGCCCGACTCGTTTATTAGGTAGATACAGACAAGTTCTCAAGCACCAAAAAAATATCTCTAGCCTTGCCCAAGCCAACGAATACCTCTATCAAAATCCTTCTGGTCACAAAGGTTTACTTGCAATGACTTCAGGTTGTTCGTGGTCATACAATGATTAGTCGGTGTCCTGGTCCGGATAACCATATATATAAAAAAACAAAGCTTAGGGTCCAAGGGTCTGTTTGTTAGCATTTCAACTAGCTTAATACGACTCATAGTTTATCTAGTCAGTTTATCTGTTTGATAGTGGCTTAATAATATAGAGAATGATTTATTCATAAAATATATAAGGGAAATTTTATGCAAAAAATTAAGTTTTTGTTTTCTTTCAAACTTGACCCTTTTAATTAAAAAACAAGTTCATTATAATTATGAAAAAAAGTGTCTAAAGCAAAAGTCTTTTCAAATTATATAAAATAGATAATAGACATATTTGTCCATCTATACTATATTATAAGGCATTTGAGAAAAAAACTTTTAAAAAACATTTTTATGCACAAACTACTGTTTGTTGATGCATATCACTTATAAATTAAAATTCAAGATTACAAGTAAATTGTTTGTAAGTATAACTTATTAAAACTTTATATTTGAATTCGTGTGACTAACTATAGATAAATATAATCAAATAAAGAATAAACGTCTATTTTTAAATATAAAAAAATCAAATATAATTAGGATAATTATTGAGTTATAACAAAATATTTAATTATCATTTCTATAAAAAAAAATATATTAAACCAAAAATAAACTACTTCGTTATTAAACTTAAATTAAACTGTTCTAAAAAATTAAATTAATGAAATTACACAAAAAACAAGAACTTTTAAACAATTAAAATTATCGTTTTTTCTTTTGTCTCAGTCAATGTTATAACACGGTTTTATATGGTTTTGAAAAAACAATAATGTTTTTATTCTTTAATAAAATATAAATATGAAGATATCATAAAGAATTAATTTTTTTTATATAAACACCAAACTAACTATTTAATTTATTTTTGTGTATTTATTTAATTTATTTTTGGTTTAATAATATATTTTTTATAAAAAATAACGAAATATTTGTTAGAACTCAATGATTATTCTAATTATATTTTAGATTTTTTATATTTAAAACGATATGTTTATTCTTTCTTTAATTATGTTCATATGCAATTAGTTATACAAATCAAACCATGAAATTTTTATAAGTTGTATTTACGTACAATTTACTTGTAATATTGAATTATAAGTAATATACATCAATAAACAATATTTAATGCATAAAAAATGATTTTTAAGAGTTCTCATCAAATGTTTTATAATATACTAGAATGATACACGTACAATGCAATGAGATATATGTTCATTTTACTGTTTTGTTTTATTTCATCTCTATTGATATATAATACGATTTATGTGGTTTTGATAAAAATAATGTTTTACTTTTGAATAAAAACGAATTTGAAGATATCATAAAAATTCGAAATAATATATCGATATTAATACAAAATTAGCTATTTAAAAGTTATCGTTTTTTTTGTATAATATATTTAATTAAACCGTTTACTATAATTTAATTTAGGTCTAACAGCGAAATAATTTATTTTTGGCTTAACAATATAATTTTTATAAAAATAATGATTTTGTTAGAACTTAATGATTATCCTAATTATATTTTAAATGAGATGTTTATCCTGTATCTGATTATGTTTATCTGTGGTTAGTTATATTAATTCAAAAAATGAAGTTTTAATAAATTGTACTTACGCATAATTTACTTATAATTTATAATTATAAGTAACATAAATCAATGAATAATGATTTTTAAGAGTGTTTATCAAATACTTTATAATATAGTATATATATATATGGGAAAATTGCACAAAAATGGAAACAACTTTCACCTGATTTCTATTTTGGGGAACCAACTTTCAAAATCGTCATTTTGGGGAACTAACTTTCACTTGATTTTTATTTTGGGGAACCAACTTTCACCCGATTCTTATTTTGGTGAACCAACTTTCAAAATCGTCATTTTGGGGAACCAACTTTCAAAATCGTAATTTTGGGGAACCAACTTGCATTTGATTCCTATTTTGGGAAACCAACTTGCAAAATAATTATAGAAAAACAACTAAAATTAATTTTTTTTCAAAAATTAATGCAATAAAATATATTTTTCATTTCAAATCTCGTTTTTTTAAATTCAGATATCAAATTGAAGATTTATCGAAAAAAAATACAAATTACCACGATAAAAATTGTTTTTTCCTAATGCAATAAAAAAATCAATTTAATAGAAAAAAATTAATTGATGCAATAAAAAATAAATATTAAATATCAYATTCAAGATTTTTATATCTAACCAATCTGTGTTAATATTAAAGTTTAAATCAAATTTGGCAAATCCAACCAAAAGTTTGATAGAGACCCTTAAATTATCTGTTACCTGTTCAACAGATCAATAAGACCCTTAAATAAACAAAAAGTTCGATAGAGATCCCTAAATGACGATTTTAAAAGTTGGTTCCCCAAAATAGGAATCAGGTGAAAGTTGGTTCCATTTTGGTGTAATTTTCCCATTTTTCTATAATTATTTTGCAAGTTGGTTCCCCAAAATAGGAATCAGGTGAAAGTTGGTTCCATTTTGGTGTAATTTTCCCATTTTTCTATAATTATTTTTCAAGTTGGTTCCCCAAAATAGGAATTAGCTGCAAGTTGGTTTTTTAAAATGACGATTTTGAAAGTCCGTTCCCAAAAATAAGAATCATGTGAAAGTTGGTTCCATTTTGGTGCAATTTTCCATATATATATATATATAATGATTTATTTTTTCCCGGATAATTAATATTTCTTTTTATAAATTAGATTCGACGTGGATATTAATTTGTGTTCTCCATCCCTCCACTCCTACATCTTCCCCGACATACAAAGAGTCTTGTAGATGGATTTTTCCCAACTCAACGAGTTCCAATAGTTCTTTCCCTCCTTCTCTTAGTATCGGATCCTTCTCCCAATCTCACTTCCCCTTTGCCTTTTTGGATCAATCGTCGAAATCAACTTGAATCTCCCCGTAATTGCATCACCAATTTGTTGTATTTCGATCCACAACTTGAAAAATTCACTTAATTCTCCACTTTGCCCTATATTTGTTCTTCAATGTTTGGAGGTTGAAGCTGCTGATTCGTTGATCAATTTGATAATTTATCATCATCATCACGATGATTCCATGGGGCGGAGTCACTTGTTGTTTGAGTGCCGCTGCTCTTTATCTCCTCGGACGAAATAGCGGAAAGTAATTTGATTCATCATTCATCCCTATCCTATTTGATTTTGGTGGTGTTTTTTTAACTTCTATTTGTTCGATTTTCAGGGATGCAGAGATTCTCAAATCGGTAACTCGAGTTAATCAGCTGAAAGATTTGGGTTAGTCATTCAATTCCTCTTCCATTGTTCTTATGTTCCAAAGAAAGAGATTATAACTAGGTTTTATTTGGAAACTTCAAAATTGCATGCTTAATGTGTCATAATCTATTAGGTCTGCTTGTTAGCAGCTTTATGAGACTCACAGCTTATTTAGTCAGCTATACATGACTAGCTATGATTGGAGTATTGGTAGTGGCTTGGTATTGGCTTAACGATATAGAAAGTGAGTTATTAATTAAGCGGGGGAGCTTTAGGTAGAAAGCCAAGATTTTTTCAAACTTGTCCGTCCCAATTAAAAAACTAGCACATTCCATCTATGAAAAAACCAATTCAAATGAAAACCTTCCCAATATATACAGACAACAGCTTTCTTCATGTATTGTTATCTTTATTATATATTTATATCTTTTTGTTAATTATTTCGGGTAAAATGCATGAGAAGAATTCATCAAAATGCAACTAAGTCTTCTTTTTCTTCCAAATTCAGTGTAACAAATAATATTTTTTGCTCAGTCAATGTAACTAAGTATCAAAATTTTCTAGTTTTTCTTGTATGTTTATTGAACACTTCGCCGGAACCCTTCCTAAAACATTTCATAAATAGGTATCAACGTCATTTAATGTTACAAAATCAGCAGGTTACAGGTCAAAATAATTACAAAATAAGAAATTTCGAAACCTTGTTACATCGAGTGAGGAAAAAATTATCGCAAATAAACCAAACTTTGTTGCATTTTGATGCATTTTGCCCTATTCTTTTCCGGAACATATTTGTATTGATTTAAGATTTTAAAAGCATTAGGGGAAAACTTATTCCTTTTCAATTAGGGTCTTCAATGATAAATTCATCACATGCATTTAGGTCAATGTAGCTGCAAAACAATTGTCTTCTTTAATCACCCATAATACACAAAAGTGCAACATTCAATACCTATAAACATTATAGTAGAATGATCCGAGAGATTGTGTTTTTTACTTGACGAGTATTGTTTTCTTTTACATTTCAGCACAATTATTAGATGCTGCAAACAAAGTGTTGCCTTTCGTTGTGACAATATCTGGCAGAGTCAGTTCAGACACCCCAATCAATTGTGAATATAGTGGTTTGCGAGGAGTTATAGTGGAGGAGACGGTAATGAGTCTTTCGAAGTGCACAGAAATCATGTTTTCTTATTTCTTTATTTCATGTATATCTTCAATGTTTTATGAGAATGTTGATGGCATGGAACACGCTCTTACTATTTTCAGGCAGAGCAACACTTTTTGAAACATAACGATGCTGGTTCATGGATTCAGGATTCTGCATTGATGCTTTCCATGTGTAAAGAGGTTCCATGGTACTTGGTGAGCAAAATGTTTGATCGCTTACTTAATTGTTCCTAGTTTAAGCAATATAGGCTGTTTGGCTGGTTTTCCATTGAGTCCCGAATTGGATAAAGCCAACTGGGTGGATTAATCTGTTTGTATGGATTGGGAGGGTGTTTGTTTGGTAGGGTTTTTTCATAGATGGAAGGAGCTTTTTTTTTTCAATTGGGAGGGGAAGTTTGGAAAAACTTGGCTTTATGCATAAAGCTTCCCACTAGAAGCTTACCAAATAAGTAACTTTCTATATCATTAAGCCACTACCAAACAGTCATATATAGCTGACTAAATAAGCTGTAGGTCTCATTAAACTCATTAAGCAGTTAACGGCCAGGCCCTTAATGCCTGGTTCCTCAGGCATTGGAATTCGTTAACCTCGAGGGCCAACTCAACTGGCAAATAAATGCTAGGCCTTGGGGATCCTTTCCATAGGTTGCTAGTTTGAGTCTCTTCAGGGCCACTCGGGATTTTCTTGGTTTTTATCTTCAGGGCCCCAATGGGATTAGTCGAGGTGCATGCAAGTTGGCCCAGACAACCACAATTACCAAAAATAGAATTGTGATTCTTTGGGATGAAATTGTCTAGGCTAATTCTTGACTAGTTTGCATTAGGACGATGGAAGCGCTCGTGTATATGTTGTTGGAGCTCGTGGCGCTGCTGGTTTGGTGTTAACCGTTGGAAGTGAAGTGTTCGAGGAGTCTGGACGGTCACTTGTTCGTGGAACATTAGACTACTTGCAAGGTCTCAAGGTATGGAATACATTGATTTGGTGCATTGTATATATACTTATGTGTACCAATGAATTAATGCTATTAATTATGGCTTATGTAACAATTTCATTGTTCTGAAGATGCTTGGAGTCAAGCGAATTGAACGTGTTCTTCCAACGGGTACTCCGTTGACTGTTGTTGGTGAGGTATGGTGTTATGCATAATTTTTCTTTTTATACAAGTGGGAAAGGAACCATTGTCTCTTTTGTTTAACTTGTACAATATATTTATGTGACGGTCCATAAAAAACAAATTAAAGAAAATTTTTAAGTGCTATGTGAGGAATTGTAAGTGGATGAAAGGAGAACAGGGTTAGGCCTTGTTTGTTTTTAGAAAAAAAATCCTCTTATCACTTATTCGGTAAGAGGTTAACCAATTCAGACCATTTGTTTTTTTCTCCTTTTTCTTACCCCCTTATCACTTACGTTCCTCTGATAGCATAAGAGGTAAACCCACCCTTTATTTACCTCTTATTGTTCTCCAGAACTAGTGGCAAAAATAAACCGCATCAAACGAATCCTATAATTTTTTAACAATTTTCTTTTGTTTTCAATAAGTTATGAGCTTGATGCTTCCCTAAGCTCTAAGTAAAGAAAGCTATGAGTATAGAAATCTCAAACAATTTTCTTTTGTTTCCAATTATCACTTACCTTCCTCTGATAGAGTAAGAGGTTTACCCACCCCTTATTAACCTCTTATTGTTCTCCAGAACTAGCGGCGAAGATAAACCACATCAAATGAGCCCCATAAATTGCAAACAATTTTCTTTTGTTTTCAATTAATTATGAGCTTGATACTCCCTAAGCTATACATATAGAAAGCTACAAGTACAGAAGTCTCAAACAGTTTTCCTTTGTTTTCAATAAGTTGCCTGAAATAAATTTTATACAAGATGAACTTTTTAATGGTTTGAATTTAGAGGCATAAAGTGGTGGGTTTATTAGCCAAAACAACTAGAATCGGGTTCAAGAAATTGCCCGTAAAAGCTCTTACACGGATTTAGACATTTATCAATTTACAAAAACAAACAATCTTATTGATTATGCTTTCAGACTTCAGCACCATCTTTTATCATTCAGAAGTGAAATAAGACTTCAGACTTCAACACCTCTTAAAAACATACGACTCCTTAATATCTAATGTGTCAATGCACTACCAAAGAACACGATTATCAGTTTGATCTTTTGTAGAAATAAATCACCTAGTTGCTTACAAATTGATGACAACATTTTTCTACATAGCACTTAAGCTGCAATGTGGAGTAACCATCATCTAGAAGTAACGGAAGAGGTTATCAAATTTGTATAATCTAAAATACCAGCTTGAAACTTCAATATTTGGGTTTGGTTCACAATCATGAATGGGGTAGTCAGGATTATGTTTCTTTTTTACCATACTCTGGGATCTCATAGAATACTGCCAATTACAGCCCATTGATTTCATTTATGATTATCCTTTCATTTGATTTCTTCAACTACTAATAAGAACTCAAAAGTGAAGATTCAATTAAAGTAATTACTCATTTTGACCAACTGTTTTTATGTAAATATAGAGTAATAAGCAAACATGTCCTTCTTTTCCATAACATTCTAACTCTGTCTGTTCATTCTGAATTTTCTTAATATTTTTTAGATGAGATTTATGTTAATTTTTGGTTCCATTAATCTGTTTCTTCAACTTCATTTTGAGTCTTCCCCTGAAATGCAGGCTATTAAAGATGACGTTGGAACAGTTCGGATTCAGCGACCCCTCAAAGGCCCGTTTTATGTCTCTCATAAAACCATTGATCAACTCATTGCAAATCTTGGGAAATGGGCCAGGTTATCTACTAGCAGTCGGAGCATATTTAGTTTGTTTCTGTACTGGTTATATGTTGCTTTATTCTTCTTGGTTTGCTTTTAAAATATGCACTGGACTCAGGAGGAAGAGTTACAGGCATGCGAAAACTAAGAGCATCTTCAACAGATTTCTCCAAAATTTCTCCAAGTTGAGAATAAAACTTCAAAATCTCTTAAATGGAAATACATTCAACTCCGATAGATTCTCCATTTTGGAGATTGCAACATTGATTATAATATTATGATATTTTATTCATCTAATAAAATATTCTCTCTCTCTAAATATTTAATTTCAAAGTTTCCTATTGGTGGGAATATATTAAAAAAGTATTTCTCTCTCATTATAATCATATTTGGGGTGCTCTCAACATTTGGAGTTTTGTACACTCTCTCTCCTACTTTCTTCATTTTGGAGAATCTGCTGGAGCAAAAAACATGCCATAAATCCCTAAAATCTCTATTTTCTCTCCATTTTGGAGAATCTGTTGGAGATGCTTTAATGGGGTGTTTGGTTAGAGGTATTAAGCAGTAATTAATGAGATCGAAATTAAAAGAAAGTGTTTGGTTTTATATAGTATAATGGGCCCATTCCCCACAAGCCCGAATTTTCATTCTGTGTAAAATTGGGGGAAATGAAAATTCTTTCCCATTTTCATTCCCCAGTCCGACCCAGACAACCCCTATCTACTATATGTTGCCATGTTGGAAAGAAATGCATGAAGCTCGACTAGCAAATAAATGCTAGGCCTTGGGGGAGGACCCCCATAGGCTGCCAGTTTGAGTCTCCTCAAGGCCACTGGGGATTTTCTTGGTATCTTGAGGGACCCATGGGATTAGTCGAGATGCGTGCAAGCTGGCCCGGACACCCATGATTACCAAAAAATTACAGGATGCTCTTTGATATTTTCAATAGATGAACGGTTCTTTTTTACTACATTTCCCTACTGAATTCTGCTCCTTTCAGATGGTACAAGTATGCGTCATTGGGTTTCACAGCATTTGGTATTTATCTGATTGCTAAGCATGCTTTTCGACAGATAATGGAAAGAAAACGTCATTGGGAATTGAAGAGAAGGTATGGGTGCTTTTAATGGTTGCTTGTGACTAATAGGCATTTAAATACGACTTTCCTTTTCAGTTTGTTACTGTTTATTGAAACAAATATCCATATATTGCTGGGTAGTCCTTAGCTCACACTTCTTAATGTGGATGCTTGTTAAATGATTGATGCCTTTAAGTTAGGACTAAATTCAGCCAGCAAACTAATGAAAAGATTAATATGACCAATATACAGTTTTGCAGTTATTCTGGTTGATATATATATATATATATATATATATATATATTGAGAGAGAGAGAGTCGGGTTCAAAAGAGAATATAGCTATTTAAGAGAATAAGCAAACGGTTGAATCACATGTGATTTTACACTAACATCACGTACAAAATCACATGTGATTCGCTCGACCTTGCCCCGCGATCTGAAGACGCGGCCATGTCGCCTGCACGCTTTTTTGGCCGTTAATGTAAAATCACATGTGATTTTGCACATGATTTGGCCGTTTTCGTATTCTCTAAAATAGTTAGCGTTCTCGTTTGATCCCCCCCCCCCCCTGCGGGCGGGCCTCTCTCTACATATATAGGGAGGTTCAAGGGAAACCCCTCAAAAAAGAAAAATTGAGTAACACTCTGGTAACTATCCATCGGGATCAATCTGAGCATAGCCCGAGACACTTATCTAAAAAAAAGTTGCCAAATGTGTTTTTAGCAAATTCCACCATTGTGAAGGATTTTGTAAGTTTTGTGGTTGATTTCAAGGGATTTTTTAAGTTTTTGGTGATTCATAGAGATTTATAAAGTTTTTCGGTTGATTTCAAGGGACTTTTTTGATTTTTTGGTTGATGTCCCTTGTATTTTCTAATATCCCGGAGCAGCCCTCAAAGTTTAGTGGTGCACTTTTCATACCTCAAAAAATTCCATTTGCGAAAATCGATTGAGTAGGTGCGCGGGACCCACTAGGGCCATCCCTGATTCCACTCTACCTCAAGTGTTATTCATTCTTGGTATATTTGCTCTACCATGTCAATTTCACATGAAGTGAACTCTTTCTCGATCCTCATTTTCTTTGCAGAGTTCTCGATGCTGCAGCCAGAAGACCAACTCCATATAGCGAAGGTCAGTTGCTTTGTTACGTTATCCATCAATTTAGTTTCTTTAAAACTATATTGTTATATTCTAACAACAAGGTTACAAGCGAAAAACTTCAGGTTCAAATGGTGAAGCGGAAAACGGAGGCAATAGCACCCGAAAAGATGTGCAAATGCCCGATATATGTGTCATATGTCTTGAGCAGGAGTACAATTCCGTTTTTGTTCCGTAAGTTTTCCGAAAACATATTTTCCTAGTTATTTTTTGGTAACAATTTTCATGCATGTGGTTTGTTAATAATTTCAATTTTGTTTTTGTGGTTTAGAAATTGTGATTTTATCCCTATGGTTTACAATTTATTGTTATTTTCGGCCCTAGACTAATTCCTACCTTTAAGTACAAAGGACCAAAACAGTAAAGAATTGTAAAACATAGGGTTCGAAACAACAATAGATTGTAAATCATAAGGACAAAAATAGCAATGAAGTGCAAATCATAGGGACAAAAACCGCAATTTCTAAACCACAGGGATGAAAATAGCAATTTTTAACAAACCAAAGGGACAAAAAACGTAATTTACTCCATATAAAATCATCAAACAACTTTTAGGGACAACTTGTCCGGTCTTAATCTGTCCGGTGCTAGTCATGCCAAACACGAGACAGACTTGTTCTGCCTTCTTGACTCTTGCCATGTCTTGTTCAGTCTTGTCTTGGTACCAAACGCTACCATAGGGAGGAGCCTAAAGGCCTAGCCTATATTTGCCGGTTGACTGGCCCCCGAGGTTATCTGTTTTTTGTCTTATAGAAACTTAAAATGGCTAATCGGTCCCTCTTCATTAGATATTATTGCCACCCTTGATGATCCCATAATTTTTGGGGACTTCAAGTATGAAGAGAAGGAGGTTAGGTTTGCGTACATCTCACCTTCTAGCCCCTACTTTCAAGTGGGATTTATTGGGTTAGGGCCTGTTTATTAGCTGCTTAATGAGCTTAAAGGGACTCGTAGCATATTTGGTAAGCTATACATGACTGCTTGGTAGTGGCTTAATTATATAGAAAGTGGCTTATTCAGTAAGCTTTTAGGCGGGAGATTTATGTAGAAAGTCAAATTTTTTCCAAACCTACCCATTCCAATTAAAAAACACGCTCCCTCTATCTATGAAACAATCCTCCCAAACAAAAATCTTCCCAGTCCATCCAAATAAATTAATCTACACAAACATCTTTATCCATATAGGACTTAATGGAAAACCAACCAGACGGCCCCTTAGTTTGATTTGGTTTTATGTACAAAGGGAAGTGGGTTTTCTCGAAAACAACCTTTACTCTTTTAGGATAGAGAACATGTCTTCATACATTTTACCCCCGTGACTCTACTTAAGAAAATAGAATTTACCGAGTCAGTTTGATTTGGTTTTGTTTTATGTATGAAGAGAAGGCTGCCCTTGATATTATTAGCATATGGTTGTTAACTTTCTCTTTTCCGAGTATATAATATTTATATACGGTAAATGCTCACGCACACTCCTGAAGTTTGACCTTCTCATAGGTCGGGCGCTATTGGGTACCACTGCGCCAATGATCCTTTGGATGGTTTTTAACTTTTTTGTTGTTTACGATGATTGAATTTGCAAAAATACGAAATGAACAAATGGCTTCGGTTTTTCAGGTGTGGTCATATGTGCTGTTGTATGACATGCTCTTCAAAGTTGACATATTGTCCACTATGTCGAACTCGAATCGGGCAGGTGGTGAAGACCTTCCGTCATTGAGCAATTGGCTGCTTGTCGGCATGAATACTTAAGATATCGAATTTGAACCGATACCTTTGTTGGCCATGAATTCTTGGTCTTCCAAGTTTTTAGTGTTTGCTTCTCCTTGAACCCAATTTTCAATAACTAGAATCTACATTTAGCATTAGTTGCATATTTTAGAAGTTATATATATATATATATATATATATATATATATATATATATACACACACACACACACCAAAGGTGTAGATGCATATTTCACCTTATTATAGTTTGATTGCTACTTCTCACCTCTTTCCTTTTAATTTTTGTTTTGCAAGCTTGGGGTGGGTGGGGTTGGGATCACCTGAAACAGCCTCTCTATTTTTGGTAGTCAAGGTATATGTACATCTTTTAACCCCACATCCTAACTTTGTGTGGGATATATTTAAGGCCGCTCTTTTTTACATGTCAAATGTGTGATTTTGAAAATTTTATATTGTTTAGGGTATTCTGTCAACGAATGTAAATCTAGCCTCTCTAATATCCATCAGACAAAAGTAAGAGGCTGTTTACCAATTTTTTTATCAAGTAATGTATGGATAAATTTGTCCGTCTGGATGAATGAGTGTTGTTTACTTTTTTTATCTGAACCAACAGTCTGAATAACATAAATGATTGATTTACTCTCCAATATTAATTATTTGAACATCAAAACAAAAAATCATAAAGAAGCCGAAGATGGGGGGTCTCATATGGGAAGAAAATGGTGCTTTAAATAAGGGGAATGGGTGTCATTTTTGTGGCTGAATGGGGACAATATACCATTTTTATTTGTGGGATTAAGCCATGTTCTGTGCGAATAAGTCGTAAGTAAACAACCCAAATGAGCTGTGTGAATAAGCCAGATAGACTAATAAACCTAATTAAGTTGCAAGTAAACAACCCCTAAGCCTCTCATATGGTTATATATGTATGTGTGTGTGTATGTGTTATATATACTCTAATATCTATCAGACAAAAGTAAGCCTCTGTTATGGTTATATATATATATATATATATATATATATATATATATATATAGAGAGAGAGAGAGAGAGAGTCGGATTCATACGAGAATAAGAGTTTGTTTGGCAGTTGAGAAATGGTTTGATGTACAATGATTAAGAGATTATCATGATATAGTGCAAAATGAAATATAATTGTTTACAATAAAATTAGGGTGTTGAATGGTTAAGAAAGTCCCATGATACAAAATTATTCAGAGAGTTTTAAAACCATTAAGAGACAGACTTTTTTTTTTGCCAAACAAGATTAACCTATTAACGATTCAGAGACTGTCTCTTAATGAAAGTATTAAGAGTTAAACAAACAACCTCTAAAAAAATAAGAGAATGAATATAGATCATATATTTTATTAAATAATACCTAAAATAACTAATTCTAAAAATAATTAAACAAGGACATAAAAGTAATTTAATTATACATAAGTTATTTAAGACATGTATTTAAGATTTTATTTTTATCATATTTATGATTATTTAATTTTTTAAATATTTTATATTTAAAACATTTAAAGTAAGTATATTTAATATTTCATTAAAGAATATTTTTTTTATTTAAAGGAATATTTAAAAAGAATTGCTATTTTCGTCAAAAGTGATTCACAATTAATTATTTTTGTAAAAACGTTTTCCTAATTTACATATAACATATGTAATATTGTAAATAATCAATATCACATATGATTTTCCGTTATAATCAATATCACATATGATAAATTGACGAAGATTAGTGATTATTTTTTTGGAAAAAAAATCGATTAATTACGGATATGATTTTTGACGGAACTTGTAACAAATTCTTAAATAAACTATTTCAATAAAAATAAATATTTTAAATGAAAAACTTAATCACACTTATTTTAATGGGTTGAGTTCACGTGAGACCAATGGTTTTTCGTGAGACTCGTAAGACCAATTTATGTTCATTGATCAACTTTATAAACTAATAATCTAATGGTCTAAAGTTGCACAGTAGCAATTTTGTGATTATTGAGAAATCTCGTGGCAATTTTGTAATTATGAATGTTCAAATTGTAGATCTAATCCAAGGGTTGAGAATTGGTCTTACGGGTCTCACGAAAAAACCCTTGGTCTCACATGATCTCAAGTCTATTTTAATTGTTATAAAAAATAACGAATAAAAAAATGAAAAATTAATCATGCTTAAATCACAAAGTTATAAATAATCTTGAATGAATACTTAATTAAATGTATTAAATGATCTTTATATCAATAAATGAATTTTCATATATAATCTATATTACAACACAAATATGCCTTTTTGCACGATTTTTCAAAAAGTTCAATTTAAGTCATTATTCAAATAAATAATTGGTCTAAAATTATTCTCTTATTTTTTTAAATATATATCATTCTTGTATTAACCTCTTCCCCCCTCTCTCTGTATATATGGTGTGGGGGGGGGGGGG